GATATAATGAATGCCTGAGGTGTCTTACCAAGCAAGGTAGTGTAGTGCCATAACCAAGTTAAACTCATCTCCCCAGAGTATTTACAGAAAAAGAAAATTTAATAACACAAGATATTCTTTCAGTGTAAATTTAATTGTAAATGCTATGGTTAACAAAAAATAACTTTTAATAAAATATCTTTTTAAAATATCTTTTAAATCCTAATTTTGCCATTACTATCCTAGAAATGATACTTGAAAACACACGAGTTTTGCAGTATGTGATAATGGACCAAAGTCTCGGTGAGACTTTATCTACCACAGATAGATAAAAGTCCTGCCCATCTACTAGATTTCCGTACTTAGTGGAGATAGTTCAAGTGTATATTGAAATATGTTTGCCACTAATTGACAGAGCAAATTACTTTTGGAACCGTATTTCCAAAGGGCCACTGAAAATTTATTTCTTCAATTTTACATGCATGGGCTTCCATACCTTTGTGAATTTAATGTTTGTGTACTCTGATATTTCCTAGCATCAGAAGAACAATTTCAAAGACGTGATGTTAAGACAGTTTAGTAGAACAGATTTTAGAAAAATCATTTACATTTTGCACAATTAGCCATCTTGGTGTCTTCATCATACTTTCAAGTACTGTAATCAAAATTTTACACGGAATTTTCTTAGAAGAGAGGTTGAATTCCAGACATAAAACTGAAAAAAAAAAAGAATAAAACAAAAATCTGACTAATTTTCTATGCTTAAGTTTCTACTTTTCAGAGGAAAAAAGCCTGAAAATTTCGACTGCAGACCTAAATATCACAGTAAAGTCCATCTGATATACCAGGTTCTGAAATTACAGTACATAGAAAAAATGCAAACAATTGATTATTAATGAGGTCAGAAATACAAATAAATTCACTTCTAATGAAGACTGGAGACACAGTAATCAAAGTGTTAAAAATTCATTTCATGCACATCTCATTTGCCTCTTAGCTGATATTTACCACATAATTCTGTGAGAAAGTGGAGGCCTAAGATGCTCCCGATAAATGTCTCAATTAATTGTACAGAGGTAGCCCTCTTTGAGCTGAACCAGAGCTGTGAGCTCTTTATTAAAAGCACTATTCGGTAGCCTGTAACCTTGTTCCTTGACTCCTCTCTAGTTTCCAATTTAAACAAGTCCCCATGCAGCCCACTCTAAAGGGCTTTGTCTCCCTGTCATTGTTATGAGAGCCGAGGCATCCTGGAAGTGTGAAATCAGACCTCATGAGCTGAACGGTTCCCCAGGGAACGCCAGACCATGCAGAAGGTCAAAGTCATGGGCTGGACCATCTGAAAGCGTCTGATCGGTGGTCTGTGACACAGCAAGAGGGGTGGGGGTAGGGGGAGAGGGGAGCCAGGGGCTAGAATTGAACACATCTTAATTAAAGCCCAAAGGCAGCAAAATAAACTGTTTTCTAGGCAGGCCATCTTATGGAGCTTGGGTTTTGCTCTGCTAATCTGAGTTGCTATTATTGCTTTAAAACACAGCACTTTTGCTGAAATCAGTCAAACCTGTGGCAGATGTTTTCCCATACTGCTTGTTTCTCATAAGGCAGAGATTTTGAATTTTGTTTTGTGACAAAAGGAAAAGGACGGATGCACCTGCCTCAGTAAAGGAGATGCAGGTACTGCCTTGCAAAGCCAGCAGCCTTTGACCACCTATACCCAGCTACACTGTGAAAGGAATACACGTATCTGACTACTTCCTAAACCTAAACTATGTTACGGTAAAGAGCTTATTGCTTTCTGAAATTTGTAGGCCTTAGGTAAAAACCATATGTATAATGTCAGAAGCCAACTATCATGATGAGTCCATTTTTCTTTAGGTTTTACTGCATCATCAGAGTATTTCTTCATGTCACTGTAGGCACAGCCCCTACCCTGCCAGGACTCCACAAGCTGCCAAATCCTTGAGAAGGTCTGCCACAGAAACCACAAGTCAGCAAAGATGTAGGGAAACAGAAAAATATAACTCCTCACAGCTGAGGATTTAGGGAGAAAACAGCCATGCATTGAATAGCTAAAACACAATGGAAGATTCAACTGAAAATTTCTTCTCAGAGCAAGAAGAAAAAAGTAAAGTCCCTGCTCAACATGTTTCCATTCATTAGATTAGAGTTCCAAATAATCACACTAAAAAATATGGAATTTTGAGGAAGGTGTATTTGCTGTGACTATAATTTCCAACAGAATGTAATTTTGCACTGGTGGAATCCAACTGGTGGAAAATTGTGTTTTGACCACGGAAAGACACTGTTTTCCTCTGAGAAAACATCCTCACAGACCCAGCAATTCCCCCAAAGGCCCCAGTCCTGGAAGATGCCCTCTTTTTCAGCTGTTCCCAAAATAAAGGTGAGCTTTCAAGCACCAGTGGGGAATCTCTCAACCCCTCAGTGGTCCTTCCTTTAAAGCCTAGACCTCTTTGCAAGTGGGTCGAGTGAGAAGTCTGACTGACTTTATTTTATACTGGGATATTTTTAATACCCAGTTATAGCATGCTCCAGCAGTGCCCCATTTCAAAACTGGTAGTGCCTACTTGCTCCCCTGCCCACAATTCAACTGAAATTTCAGCTTACCCTGGCACCCTATTCAATGCATGTGTATGGGAGGAGGCTTCTAAGCTTAGGCCTGAACCACCACCCTTAATCACTCTCCTTTAAAAAAAAAAAAAAATCTGTACTAACTTTAAAGATTTGAAGTGCACTGTCCAAGACCAGACTACTGAAACTGGAGAAAAAAACTGCCCTGGCTATCAACAGTTTATTAGGGGCTTAACTGAAGTGACCTACTGTAGTAGCATTCAGCTGAAAAAGGCTATGAGCTTTCTGACAAAAGGAGAAGAATTGAGGGTTTCATTAAAAAGTAATTTGTGTTTTTTACTCATTCATTCAACAGGAGTCTCAATTACTCTTTATTCACACAGAGTTAATACAGTATTACAATGCTGCTCAATGAATGTACAGTAACAAAAGAAAAATTTCATGTTTTGAAAGGGAAAAAAAAAAATCCTTGCAACATTGATGACTACTTAAAAGACTACAGAAATCTTTTTCTGTCTGTGCTTATGCTTAATGATGGAATACTAAGGATTTTAAGAATCTACTCAGTTCAAACTAATAAAATTTGATTTATTACTTCACATGAAAAGATTCCTGGAAGTGAAATGGGATGCGTTCAGCAGGAAGCAAGCAGAGCAAACCACACAGATACTATACAGTTGTTCTAGCTACTTTTCAGACTCAGGGACAAAAGATTAACTCTGAAAACACAACACAGTAAGAAAAGCAAACTATTCCTTAGCTTTTACTCAAAGAAGCAGTCCTTAGTGGTGTGATTAACACCACTGATGGCAGCACTCTCCTTACTGACTAGTAAGTTTTGCTTAGTTGAGTAAGAGTGGTGGGTCAAGTTTTTACAAAATTTCTGCAAACACGATTTACTGACAATCACCAAATAGCTACTTTGAGTTATTTCTTAGTATTACTATTGAAAGATTAATTTTAAATGAATGATTTGTACATACCAACAAGTTACTAAAAATAGCTATAAATTATTACAGTAGATAATAAACCCCCTTTGTCCTCTTTTCAAAATGCCAGGTACTTTTGTCCAAAATATATAATGATTTCTGTCACATCTGAAATGTGCAGCCATCTTAGTATCTGCTGTATAAATACTTTTTCTTACTAAAAACCAGAATATTTTGTTATTATAAGACACGGGAAGATATCAAGTGTTCTTCCCCTTCTTTCTGATTGTCATCCTAAATGCAATGTCTGAAAACTTCTGGTAGCTCTGTACCTCTTTAATTGAATCAAAGGTATTTCCAAAACAATTGTTCAACCGGCACAAATAACACGTTCATTTGAAAAAGTCAAAGACTGAACGAGATGAGGGACTGAATTATCCCATTTGCCCCTGAATAACTTAATCTCTCTCTCTGTTCAGACCACATTGGATTATAAGGTCAAAGCATAGTGAGGAATCTTTAGAAGCATTCCTCCAACCTCCCCAAAAATAGAATCTGTTATTTTGTGTGCCATAAACTGGATCAGTTTCAGCAATAAAATATTTCCACTGTTACCTTGTCTGAAATCCTGATAGTCATGCTAATTATCAAAAAACTATTGAAAGTGAATAAGTTGTTATGTAACTACATCTGCTCCCATAACAGAACATTTATGTCCTAACAGCAATTAAACCAAGCAAGTCTAACTTCCTTTTATCTTCTTTTTTTTTTTTTTTTAAACAGAGATGGCTGTTTTCTGATACTGATGCAGAAAATTTTGCTCCATTCAACTTGTGCAGCACAAAGGTGATTGTACTTAGAAGAGGTAACTTCGACATTTCTGGAGAAATATGGCCAGTATGGCTGAAATACTTTCCCTTTATTGTGAAAAGTTAAATGTCATATTAACTATTCAACTTATATCACATAAAATAGAGAATAAAAAAAAATTGTTTTCCTTCTTGAAAAGATAAGCAGTAGCTACAGTAAACTGCATGTACTTGAAATGTCTTAAACCAACAGCAGGCTTGCGAAACATCTGAAAGATATCAACTGGTTCTTTGAGCAACAACTTTAAAGCAGTATCTAAGTCAAGCACCTTTCATTTGCCTTGTCCGTTGGAATTCAGCTTTAATGTTGATAATTTTGTATAGTTTCATCTACTAAGAAAAAGAAGGGTTTTCTAAGTAATTTTTACAAGGTCTCTGATGGAGAAAAATGTGTATTTTGCCCTTACGAGAAATAATCTATTTAGGGCTATGCTACCATTAGAATGACTTGTTGCCTTGCTTACAGAAGTTCTCTTTGCTTGTGTTTAAATTTTTTCATTAATGAGCAAAAAGTGAAACTGCGCAAACAGGTTATAATGTTTATAAGAGCTTCTGTTTTAAGCATTTTTTTTCCATTTCTAAAAAGACCTAGTTTTACTATGGTATTTACTGTCACAGAAACTAAATGAATCCTTGCCTGTGACATCAGCTGCCATCAATGCCTCTGCCCTGATGACCTTCACCTGAAGAAATCCCACATCGCTGATGTTATGGAACATCATCATTGGACTCTAAAAAATAATAAAAAGAAAAATAATTCTGGATTGCAAAAAAGACAAACCAAAAGCAAGATTAATAGTCTCCTCCCTAGCCCAGACAGCAGTTACTGTGTAAATATGTCCATGTATTCAGACTTTTAAATATTATTCTCTGAAGAAGTACAGTTGTCAGCATTTCTTTCTGTACTTTGTAACTTTGTTAATGAAAATTACAAAGGAAAAATAAGAATATTAATTATTGTATCTAACACTAATTCTAGTGAATCAATCCCCTAATAGTATATGAACAACTGTACTTCAAAATTTGAAATAAGAGTAGTGAATTAACAAAATTAACACAAACAATAAAAGTATTCTTCTCCCTGAATTATTTTGCAAAATCTATGTTCACATTTTCTTTTTGATGGTTCCAATAATATCCTAACAGTGACCTAGGGCCAACAGAGTTGTTTTGTAGTTGACTATTATAGACAAGCTTGCATATAACATATATGCGTATATAAGCTTGCAAGTAACATGAGCAAAAGCAATCAAAAGACAATAACATCAACTTAATAATTTTCATAATAATCACATGCAAAAAGGATAAAAAAATAATTGAAGTAAGTTTCAAATCAAATGGCAGAAAGCTTTTACCACAAATCATATTTCTTTAGTACAAATTTCTTCAACATCTACTTATATTAAAAAGAAAAAGAAAAAACTTAAGAGTAGACTAACATTTGCATTTGTTCATCTAACACAGATTTAGAAAGCTGATTGAAAAGTATGTTCTGCTGTTGCTTTTTTTCTGAGTAACTAAAACTAACAAACTGCAAGTACTGCACTAATTAGGTGTGACAAGCTATAATTCTCAAACTCTAACTCTGAATATAATTTAAAATTTGCAGAATTTCAGATGTTAGAACATTGAATGCAACTTTGAATATGTAATCCATTAATAACTAACCTAGCTTTACAATTCAGTTTGATAATCTAGGAGAGGATCCAAAATATAGGATTAAATAGTAAAATTATGGATTGCAAATGTATTTAAAACCATATACAAACATCGCTTAATTTTTGTTTGTTTTGCAAGTCTTGTTTATAAATACTAGCACATATCTTTATTTTGAAATCTGGACTAATGCACCTAATGCCTGTCATCTTTCCTAAAATTTTAATGTAGTGAAACATTTCCACTGCCTGTGACAGTGTCCAAGTTTCCATAAAAAGCAAACACCAGGCAAAACACCATCTCAACAATTCTTTAATTTATCACTAGGCAAAACCGACTGTTTGGAAAACCAGAATAAATAACATCACTAGATCTAAAAACCACACATGCTGCTTAAATGAAATAATAAATGCCAGCTTGCAAAAAAATCCAGGATGTTTATCCCTAGACAACCTATCCATTAAGATGTTAGACATATAATAAGCATCCCTGTCTATTACTAAGAGAATTTTAAGAGTTAATTCACAATGATAATAATTTTAGAAGCCCCAACTGACCATTTACTGTTTACAGTGAAGATCTGATCTTGCTATATTGAACTGAGAAATCCACTTTACTGTAGTAGCCCATGTCACATACATACAAATACATGTATGCAAGTTATCATGGGATAACAGTTAATAAATTTTTACCTATTTTAAGAAGTAAATCATCATAAATATGACTTCAAAATACTGATGGTCAGTTTTAATCATACACTCAAACCCTTGCTTATGTGCTTACAAGCTGAGGGTGGCAGAGATGGTGTTAGAGATAGCACTGTTATAATTCAAAGCATCTTGGCACTGTCCCTCCTTTATAACAGTAATGATCAGGTTTGGTTTCTGAAGCTTCTTATCAGAACTAGTACCACAGAAATAATGCTGCTCTAATACTGTGATGAAAGTGAAAGGATTTATAAAAATATTTCCACATTCTACACAAGTTTCTCAATGACCAAACAAACACCAAGCTGGAGAAATAAAACAAAGCAAAAACCAAACACAAAGCAAGACAAGTGACTGCCCCCACTTCCTATGACACCAAACAGTCCTCTTTTTCCAAATCCTGGTAAGCTCACTCCTCAAAAAGGCACCAGTGCTGTATTTCGCTTTGCCACCTTCGTTAGAATCCCACAGAATAATTACTTTTGAACTTTTAGTTCCAGCAAGTCAGCTGCCTTAGATTCATTCACACATCGTAACTCTGTTGAAAATGTATATGATGCCACAGCAGAGGCTCCAGGAGAAGCCTATTACTTTAATACATTACTTTAAATACATAACTTTAAGTAATGATTTATCAGATGATATTCTGTCTTCTTATTTATGATTATTGTTGAAGATATCAAAACCCACATGGTTTCTGAAGCCTCAGATTTCCATAGCAGAGGAATCTGTGATTTGCTGGGAATCTTTTCAGCCCTCAATAGATGGGAAAAGATTGAAATGCTCTGGAGATGAGTCCTCTTTATTTTTTTAATGAAAGGCTGTATAATATATTTTCTGTATGGCTGCAGCAGCTGTCAGGGAGAGCATCTCAGTTCAGCTCTATTATGGGAGAAGCAATACTCCATCCTATGGCATCAAGATACACTAAGGGGCCAGTACTGATTGACAGCTTGTCACCATGACGTCTTATTCCATCTCTGTTATGGAGAAAATTAATGTCACACCACCAGCCTTATGACTCGCTGTCATCTTAGAACTGCTCACCTTTTATCAATGCTCTAAATAACATTTCAAGCCCATCGTCTCACAGTGGACAATCCGGTCAAGGGACATTAAATCAGATGACTGTGAAATGTCATAATAAAAATGGAATGCTAACAACTTCTCTAAACTAGCTCCTCTGGTTTTTAAACTGTGACAAGGGGGACCCTGGGTTCAGCACACCAGTTCTGAAAAGGTCATACAATCTCTCTTGGTCTGTACCCATTAATGCGCCCCCCTCTTCACCCCAAAAGGAATTAATCTTTTCAGGCAATTGTGGTAAAATAATGGTTCAAACAGTAATGCCTGTTTAATTTGTAAGGCTCTGATGTTCAGCTACAAATGGTTAAATGACAGTAATAGAGTAATTTTTTAAGGCTATTTGATCTGATGGCAGGGTCAGCTCATTAACTATTTTTGGCTGCAGAAAGGGTGCAAAATACATTTCTCTAATGGAAGCTAGATTTTTTTTTAAGAGGACAAAAAATAAAACCAAAAATACAGCCATTCAGTGGGGAACTGTAGGTCTTGCTAATTGCACATGTTGCCCTTGTATTCATTCTGAAGTGGAGATATGAATACCAAAGACAAACTGAACATCAGTGAAAATAAACTACTTGAATTGTGTTAATCCTGGTAATTTCTTTCTTCTGCTGGTCATTTTAATAAAAACAGTAGAATTTATCCAAAAGGTATGTAGAAGCCACAATGTTCAGAAACACATAATGAGAAATTCACACCTTTGCAATATGAATACTGTCCTAAAATATCAACGTTTTCAAAGGCATACAGCAATGTAAGAAAAGACACATATCGATGCATATGCAAGAAACAGAAATAAACCAGATCAATATTATGACACATAATTATGCTTTACGCTGGGGACAAAAAAATGAGAATTTAAGAAAACTGATTAATAGTACACAGTTGTAACATGTTTCTATACTGCTACTGAAATAATCAAAACCATCAGTATCACTTGTCTGCCATATCACCACACAGAATAATCCACAGAAATAGGGTATTGTTGCTCTTGGTAGCAAGAACTATGTCACCTCAAAAACATATCCATCAGAAATTTGTTCTACTTATAGACATCTATTCTGACAACCACAGACTGTCTTGGTGGATTCCAAAATGTGCAATAACTCTCTTAATTGTAATTATTTTTCAAAGATGGTGGACAATACCTTAGCTTTTAGTTCACTTAGGAATATTATATTTAGCCTCTCTAAGTCACCTCTATTAAACCGCGTTTATGATAACACTATTGGTGTATGAGTTGTACAAGCATTAGCAGACAGCTGATTCAGTGGAGATAGCCAGAATAAATTTGCTGAAGCGCACATCCTGCTAATCTGTTTGAAGAATATTGTACAGCATTAGTACTAGCACTTCATGTTATCTGCACAGCCTGATAAGGTACATCTTTATTAAATTCAGTTATTGAAAGGATGTCAGTCATGGAATAGGAATATTTTAAAATCTTGGAAATAAATTAAGCAGCTCTTTGTTAGTCAGAGCTTGGTTTAATGGCTGAGTGTCTAGAGAAGCCTTTCTAAACACCTGGCAGCATTGTACAATAAAAGCTTTGTAATTGTAAGTGGAAATAGCATGGTTTTTTTCTTTCTTTCTCCATGCATAGTGAAACAGTTACTTTTAGGCATTCAGGCACTAGCAAATGCTGGAGTAAGAGCTCCCCTCTCTGTTGCTTTGATAAAATTACAAAGATACTGTGTAATGTGAGGATGCTGGGAAATGGAAATAATTTGCTTCAGAATATTTTGAAATGGAAATACTGTTTAAAACAATAAGTTTGACGATATAAAATACTGCTTCAGCCTCTAATGAAGGTGAAAAAAAAATTTTCTTGCCTTTTAACAGATGTTCAAAAAAAGCTGTAAACTATTGACAACTCAAACTATTCGGCATAAAAAATCACTAGAAAGTGTACATTCGCTGAGTAACCCCTTAGGTACTTCGGGCCTATTAAAAATTATGTGCAAGGCAGTAAAATTAACTTCCTTATATGACATCTTATGTCATAAACAGTTGAATTACCATGTAAAAAATACTTTACTGTATGAATAGCATTTGTAGCGCTCTTGATGTTACCTGTACCAGCGTAACTATTTCTATATTAGTAACTGGTTTAAATTATTGTCGTTGGCAAGGTGTTCTTAGAATATAAGAGATATATTCAGAGTTTTACCCTCATGATAGTTATTTTTTACATAGGCAAACATTTTGCAAACAAAGGGTGAAAGAGAACTTCATACATATCTCTTCAGTATCTCCTCTCGCTCCTTCTGGTCCTCCAGGGAGTTAACGGAGAGGTCAGATATGGTGACTGCAGTTGAGGCTGTGAGAGTGACCAGCAACACCAGGTATCCCTCTCCCTCCTCTAGTGGCATCTCCAACTTGTGGGTTTGTTCTTTACTCAGGGTCGACAGGTCAACCTGGCATCTAGAAACACACATTCTGCATCAGCATGTGGTTTTCCTTACATCAAACAAGAGCACATTGGCTTACCTGCATTCAAATGGACAAAAAACCCGAGTAAGTAGAAATTCCCTCCTAGCTTCTGGAAAAAATTCTAAATTTATCTTCAGCTTTAATCCATGCTGCTTTTTTGACCTTTTTTTTAGCTTAAGGCTACACAACCTGTTTTGAAGTGAACAATAAATATTAAAAAGAATGTACAGACACTAGAGATAAGATTAGCTAACAGGCCTTACTCAAATACAAAGAGAATTTCAAAAAATTCATCTTCAGATGGAAATTTTACTTTTAATTAAGTCTCTGGTATAAAGAAAAAACATAAGTTTTGATGTGAACATTTTTGATACTGTTCATCTAACAATAGTAAAAATCTTTTCTTAAAAAAAAAAAGAAAATCTGTGTGGATTTAACTGTGATGGCATTAAGATGACTGAGCATAGAAAAATTCAACTTGAGCACTACCTGAAAAGCTCAGCTCTCTTGCAGTAAGCTGTGTGTGGCTCAGGGTCAAAGCTTCGTGCAGGCAGCCAGGATAAAATCTGATGCCACAACCCCGTATATAATAAGATGTCTCACTTTGTAATGAGCAGGGACTGCTTATAACTGCGCAGAGTGGCTGAAGTCAATCCGCCCTGCTTGATCCCTTTCTGAATAACTCTGGCTGTACCATACACTGAACTAATGAAGAATGACTCTATATATTCCAGACAGCAGAAATAGCTTCGCAACGTCTTTAGAAATACAAGGCAAAGCATGGAAAGAAAAACAGTATCACTGCTATCAAAGAGCTGACCATAACCTTTTAAATAAAACAGTTATACCTTAGGGTAAGTAATTAGTGTACAGCTTAGAAGTTTTAATATTTTAATTTGTATAACGCACAAGTTTCAACTTTCCTAGACTGCCACTCTGAGTGTGTATAGAAATTCAGTGTCCATGTCAATGTAATGCCAGCTGGCATTGCACAGAAATTTCTGTGAAAAAGCACTATTTGGAATACTTACAGCATCCCAAGATGAGTTTCGCCAAAAGTCATTATTCTAAAAACAGTAACAATACTGAAATAAAATAAATGTGTATATTCTACATCTACTTTAGCCTCTGAATATTCTCCTTTCACCTCTGATTATTTAATGTGACAAGCTGCCATGTGACATGTACTATTTGCCACTAACTCACTAAACTAAACATCTAGCAAACTCTTTTAATAAAATGTCAATTGATTTTGAAGAAAAAATAATGTGGTCACCACAGGGTCAATAAACTGAGAAAAAGGTGGTAGACATGAATAAATAGCCATTTAAGGACAAGAAACAGTCAATTATGAGAATAAATGCAGCCTCATAAAATGAGCATTCTGCTATCATAGGCAGATTAGATTTGCTACAGGAAAACTGTCTTTTATTATTTTAAAAACATTTACTGTCTGTTGTGCAGCTGCCTAAACTACTGCAAAGCTCATATGGTAATAAGGTTGAATTATCTTACAATGAAAAAATTTCTAACTTATGCAGCATTCTGAGCTTAATGTTTACCTTCTATTTTGAACCTTTCAGATAATAAGAAGTGAGAAATTAAATTAACAACAGTAAGGAAAAAAAAAGCTATTGCTGTCAATGCAGGTTGGTGGTCAATACAAGTTTTGCATATGTACATAGACTGTCCTATTCTTGTTTATGATGCAGGGAGAAATATAAAGCCCTCCTTAAGATAAAAAATATTGTAATCAAGCATTCAAAGCTCAAGGAGGTTAAAATACTCCTGGTTGTAAATATTCTTTGATAATTTATTTCAAAACAGATATCCCTCAAAAGTAGGGCTCAGCAACAATATTGAGACTCCAACCAATAATCATTTAAAGAATCAGTCTAAACTCAAAGTCAGTAAAAGAATCAGAAAGTCATTATGATACTAGTAATGCAGAAATAATCCAGTCCTCACTTAAAAATAGGCAACAATAACTAACCCCTCTGGAGAAAAACCCACCTACATTCACCAGAAAAATGCAATGAGTGTTAAATTTCAGGGTTTACATCAGAGTTACAGACACAATTTCTCCAATTCCTGAAGTTACAAGACTTTTGCAACATCATTATTTAGGCTAAAAGAAGCAACTGACAATTCAATTTTATCTATGCTGCTTTCCTACAGCTATGAAATACTCCTAATAGCAGAACAAATTACCTGAGAAGCATGTCTCTATCGACTGCTTGATAAATCTCCATGAACAGTCCATCACCAGCTTGTTATTTCCTAAAATCATACAAACAGTAGGAAATGCTCTGGAAACTTTTTTTCCAGTGCAAGCCTTAATCATTTTAAAGGGAAAATATCCTCTGAAGAGTTCTCAGATAATTTGATAAAAATCTAGAGTTATTCCATTAAGGAGTGTCACCACTGCACTTTATAGAAGTCCAGGTTAAGAATGTCTCTGTGCGTACACAGTCAGGTGAAAGCATATTTCTCACTCTCCGCCAGGTCCTCTCAATCCTGGCCTTACAGGGTATGAAGCTCGCATGTGTCTAATTCAAAGGTGCCAAGGCTCAAGGAGCATCCAGCATAACGTGAGTGCATCTACAACACATGCATTTCAGACAAATGATAAGACTTCACAATTTACAGACACTATAGGAGAAATTGCAATTTTCTCCCATTAGTAGTTGAATTTTTCATGATAAAAAATCAACTTTGTTTGCTCTTATGCCAAATTTTCCTAAAATACAAAATAAAAAACAAAATCTACTTTGTCCTCACCAGATCTTTGTATGGGACCAAAAAAAGCAAAGGAAGTCTGGTTTTATTAAGGCATTACCTAAACACTAACCCTGTCCTAGAATAACTTTGACAGACACCAATAGGAAAACCACAATACTCCTTTTTCTATTGCATTTCCTTAGAAGGACTGAAGTTAATAAAATACTTCTAAAGATAAGAACCTGTTTGGAAAATATCAATTTTCCAAATGTAAATAACTTTGGAAAGTTGAAGTCGACAATGCTCCTTTACATTTTACTGACAGTATATACAAGTATTCCAATCTTTAAAGCTTTAGCAATGCTGACTTATATCAGTTAAGATGTTCTCTTAAAAGACATTTGTCACCCACAACTGTTTCCATGGAGAACAAAGATGCTTTGAGGATGAAGGTGAACTTGAATGTTACCAGAAAGTGGTGCAGAGTGAGTGAGAAATTTTTGTCTCATTTTCTCAAATTGAGGACCATGAAAAATTACAGCCACTTTGAGAAGGCCATAAGTTTCATATGACCAGCAGCTGTCACACTGAGAGCACAAGACAGTAGTAACTTCAGACAATCCAGTTTCTTAACGAATTATTACTTACATGATGCTGCTGAAAGAAAAGAGTTCACCACCTGTAAGGAGATCAGCCTGAAGAATTACAGCAAAAAATTTGCCATTAACTCCATAGACAGATTTCCAAGTATGGCTATAAATCAAATCATAGAGAGAACTGTAGTTTTTAGGGCAGTTTGAATATTTCTGCATCTTCCATGCTGTATGATCCCTTGGCAGCACTACAAGTGTTGGACTGGGGCACTAGAACCACCACCGTGGCTGGCTGACCCCTCAGAAAGAGGCATTAGGAGCATGCTCCCCCCCATCAGTTCTGCATGTGAACATTCCCAGGCACCATGTATATTTGGATTTTCAGGCCTTGAGAGATCAGAGGGGAGAAAAACCATGCAAATGCATCACGGTTGTGTGCCAGAGTTATTATAGATACAGATACAAATTGCTCAGAAACAGGGTACAGCTCCCATGGAGGAAAATTTGAAGGTTCAAGGGGAATCTACCACTTGTCTGAAACTGTGTTCAGTGTGTTAATCGTCTAAACTTTCAGAAATATATTTCAGATTTATTTTTAATTTGAATATATCTGGCCTTTGGTTCTTTTTATGCCTTTCTTTACCCAGTTGAAAAAGCCTTTAGTGTTTCATGTTTTCTTCTAGTGAAGGTACTCATACGCTATAATCATATATCTTCTTCATCTTCCTTTTGATATGCTAAACATCTTCTGCTCCCTATACATTTCCTAGGAACATATCTCCTGCAGCCCTCAAATGACTTTTTGTAACTTTTCTGATCCAGTGAAATTCTCCTGCATCCTTTTTAAAGTGTGGAAGGCAGAACTATATGTAGTATTTTATTATCAGCATGTCTAACAGGTAAAAATCACCTCCCCTCTCTAGTTCTAACAGAACCTGGAATGTAAGACTGCGTTGGCACCCTGGTGAAATATCCTTGCTAATGAATGAATTACAAAGGTAGCAACATGACATAGAAGGCCTCTTAAAAGCCAGGTGGCCAGGCAAGTGAGAGACAGCAGATAGTGAGATCATTTTCTCACATGACAAAATAAAGCATAAAAGAGGAACTGGCACAATCCTAAGTGTTAGGGACAGAAAAGCACCACTTGGCTACAAACCAGGCAACTTAATTACCATCATGACTTGTTCAGGAACACAGCCTTTTAACTCCACTGTGATCCAGGTCTATGCTGCTCCAAAGGATGCCAAGGAGAGGAAACTGTATGATTCCACAATTAGAACTGAGCTGGACACACATCAGAAGCAGCGAGGCATGAACTGCTACAATTAGTGAGACTCCACATCCTTTATGAGCAGAGTAAAATGTTCCAATAAAACCAAGGAACAAAAGGAGAGGGAAAATTCTGCAAAGCACTGACAGAAAATGACACATCTCAGAAATACTCAGTGTTGACTGCAGTAATGTGAACTTCTTGGAAGAATCAGAGTGTGACATTTTTAACTGTAAAGATAATGAAAATGAAATAAAATAATGGACTTCACACGATGCTTGTGAGAGGTGTTCAATAGAGGTGATAGACTGAAAACCAGGAAAGCTCCCAAAGGAATTGGAGAGTGTAACTCAGCTAAATAGGACATTGACTGAGGACAAGAATGGTGGTGAGCAGGGGAAGCTGGAGCGGACCCCAGGGAAGCTGGGACGACAGACCTCAGCAAGACATGGATAACAATGCTCTCATTTGCCATGTAGCAACACCTGGAATGTAGGAAAGAGCCCTGCAGTTTTGGGTAAGTAAGTCATGTCTACAGAAATACACAAAATACAGGACAATCTCACCAGTCACCAAGCAATTCCTGAATACCGAATAAGTGT